AACACAGCCCTGCCTGACTCAGCTGTTGTCCCACCAGGGCCAGCACTAGGTCAGCAGGACAGGGAGCAAGAGCTCTTTGGGGGCCCCTCACTCCCCTCTTGTTCCTTCATCCCCTGCTGGGCTGGGATGTACAGGGCTTCTGCTGTGCAGTGGGTGTCGGACCCAGAGACATGCCCAAGACAGTCCGTGCCTGCAGGCAACTTGGGGGCCAGCAAAGGGGACAGGCCGTGATGGCATGGGCTGGAGAGAAAGCCCAGGAGACCCAGGTTCTGAACCTGGTCTGCCAGTCCCTTCCAGGGGACTGTGGCTGGTCACGGTTCCACTCTGGGTCTCGGCATGAGAGGCCTGGGTCCTCTCTGAGGTTTTCTCTCGTGCTGCCCTGCCACAGGGAGGGAGGAGATCCGAGGAACAAGCTCGGGCCTACTGTTCCTGGTTTCAGCGGCTCGGAGGGAGATGAGCTGTGTGTATCTGCCGAGCTGGGAGGCGGCGGCCCCGCTTCCGGCTGTATGCACAGAGGCGGCGGGCTAGCACGCGCCAACTGTGTGGGCGCACTTCTGTGCCGACTTAGTGTTTGCACTGTGCGTGTGGCTGTGCCCTAGGTGTGCATGGGTGTGGGCACCCGCGTCCGGGCGTCCGTCTGGGTGGAGCAGGCCATGCGTCTGTCTGCGAGGGTGAGGGGAACACAGAAGAGACTGGGAAGAGAGCTGCAGTGACCATGGTCATGGTGACAGTGACATGAGCCAGCACCGTAGTGGACTTACAGGCCCTGCTCTGAGTACCTAGTGTATTTCCGTGGGCAGTCCTGGGAGCACTTCTCCGCAAGGCAGCTCCGAGAGGAACGGTAGAGGCACGGCACGGTGGCTCGGAGCAGTTCAGTCGCTCACCCAGGGTCACCAGCCAGGACTTGCCTTGGCTCCAGGCGTCTGGTTCCAGGGTCCAAGGGCTGTGTGTTCAGCAGAGGAGCAAAAGGCAGAGGGCAGGAGGCTTGTGCAGGGTCAGACGCAGTCTGGAGGGATGCCCATGAGGGCTTGTGGGTGGACCTGTGTGAAGCCCAGCCCTTCCTCGATCAAAGCTGGAGGGGAGGGAGAAACAGACTGAGCTATATCCCCCCTCTTGCTCTGGGCTGCCCTGCAGAAGGTTCTGCACCATGGAGTCACTGCAGGGGGTGGGGAGCGGGGAGAGGGGAGGAGTGTTCTCACCCCCAGTGTGGGGTGACCAGGCTGTGTGCCCTAGGGCAATCAGGAAGTCTCGGGAGGAGGGGGCAGCAGCCCCCACTCGCTGTAGGCCTAGCTGTCTGTTCAGGGTCTGATGTGTGAGCCTCCTCATAGCAGACAGCACCAGCCCCTCAGTCCCAGGGCATCAGGACAGGGTGGCACCTCGCACACCTCGCAAGCGTCTGTTGCTCTTTCCTGTGCGCGATGCCATGCTTCAGTTTCAGCACACACACCCCTTCACATATACCCTAATTGGTTCTCGAGGGGATTGAAGGTGCAAATGAGAAATGGCGGAGAAAGCAGGCAGAGAGGTAAAGTGTGTGTAGGGTGTGTGACACCCCCCTGCCCTGGGGGGAGGCCGTGTGCTGTCCGTAGCTGCTTGTCTGGGGCTGGTCACATAGCAGGTGAGTGCCCCCTGAGCCCACAGATGGGCGTTTGCTCGGCCGCCAGCAAGCCATTTTCCTGACATGTGCGGGGCAGTGGGCTGGCTGTGGGGGCCCACCGGGCAGTAAGGTTTCTCAGCCGGGACCACAGGGAGCCGACAGAGAACTCTGCTCTTGTCTGCTCCGGGAGCAGGGAGCCGGCCTGCCTCCCAGTGGTGATTTATTGAGGATAAATAGGGGCCACATGGGGTGCCTGGGCTGGAGGGTGGGGGCTCACCCGTGTTGAAAGGCAGGGGCCTGCCAAGAGTCCGTGGTAGCCTGGGAAAGTCTCCTGGCGGCTGCCCAAACGCTGGTTTGGATGCCCAGTTTGAGCCACTCACACATGCTGGGAGAAGGGACTCTTGCCCCTCAGGATCCCCGGGGGGCTCAATCTGGCCCCCAACTCATGGGATCACATGGTCTCACCTGGGCCAGAAAGAAGCCGAAAGGGGAGTTGGGGTGGAGGCAAGGACAATTCTGTTTGGATGTCCCACTCCTGCCCTTGTGCTGGATGACCCATGTCGGGGTCCTGGTGGCCTCA